CCCGGGCTGTGCTGCATACAACCAGTCCCACTGTCCCCGGGCATACAGCAGGGCTAGGGCAGCACAGCAATTTGATTTGCTTCCCAGCAATGGCGACTCCATCCACCACCATACCTGCCTGTCCACTCTGCACCCATTGCTGAGGGCAGGACCCATGCTAGCTGGGTGCATGGTCAGACAGATGGGATGGGACCACAGGAAGGCAGGGAGCAGTGTCTGGGAGCAGGTAGGGCCAGGATCACAAGGCAGGATCATGGGGGTGGTGACAGTACAGGGCTGGAGCAGAGTTGGGATCAACTGCCCACATGTCCCTGCCATGAGCGCTGGTTCTGTGGGCAGGGGCATGCAGTGAGTGGGTCATGGCTTTGCCCTGAGCCTTGGCCCCATCCTGCAACCATCCTGCAATCCTGGCCCTGGCCCCGCTTGCCCATCCCTCTCCTAGATGCTGCTTCCTGCCCACTTACAGCCCCATCCCATCTGCCTGGCCATACACACTACCTACATGTGGTCTTGGTCTATCTCCATGGAGACCCCAGCATCATGGGGCAGTGACAGGACAGGGGTGGAGCCTAGGGCACAGCCACAATCTGCCCTGCCCTCGGAACTGGTGCCCATTGTGGGGACATGTGGGGAGCAGACTGTGGCTCTGTCCAGGACCCTGGCCATATGCTTTCATGGCCCTGCAATCCCAGCCCTGCCCCTGCCCGCCCACCCACCCATCCATCCTGCTTCTGGATGCCTCTCCACACCTGCCCATCCCAGCCACTTACGGAGTTTTGGTAAGCTCTTGTGGGAAGGGTGAGGAGGGGAGGGGCAGGAGGAGTGCTGACCTGGCCCACAGCAGCTCACCAGGGCTAAGTACCAACAGTCATCAAGGCTGAATCAATTCAGTCTTTGTTGGTTAGTCTAAGCTATGCAGATTGAACTGATAAGCAAGTGAACAGAATTCACTTTTGATTCCGGAAATGCAGTCACATGCCTGCAGTGGCCCAGGCCAGAAGCTGGGGGGTGCTACAGTATGCCTCCCTACTCCACTGGAGCAGACAGCTTGGGCCAAAGCTAGCTCATCAACCCTGAGAGGGAGAAGGGGGGGTGCAGGAGAGGTGCAAAGCATCCTGGGATGCTAGGGTACTGTGAGTTAAACTGAATCTGGAGGGGATCTGGGACAGAAGTTCAATAAACCGATTTAACCTAAATCAGTTAAGTCTGATACTACATCCATTCAGGTTTATCTTAAACCAGTTTCAGCCATTTTGAAAGCAGTTTATATGCACTGAACTTCTATTGCATTAAAGATTTGAACTGGTTTCCAATCACTTATCCCAGTATATGTGTAATTTCTATCCCTAGCCCAAAACTCCCTAAGTGGCCCTCGAGCCCAAATAATTGTCCATACCTGACATACAGCCTTCCCACAAAAGTTGGGTAAACAAAGATTTGAATGGTTAATGTAAATAAATCCATGCAGAAAAAGGTCTAATAAAAAAGTGGGAAAATCCCACACAAACCAGCCACCATCACCACACACACACAAAGACACATGCAAACGCAAAGTTGCAATTTTTAAATGTACAAATAATGTCATATAAAGTTAGAACTGTACACAACTAAGATCCCCTTCTAAAGAAGACAGCTTTATGCAATCCTTTATTGCTTAGTTTGTTAACAGACTGCAATTGTCTAATATTTTAGGAAGCAATTTTGTGTTTCTCTTTCACTACTTCACTCAGATATACATTGTAACATATCCTCTTCCAGAACACAGAGACTTCAGTCACTAATGCTATTCATTTGTCACTTTCCACTAGTACTCATTGTCATTCAAATACGCAAGAGAAACCAAGCATTTGACTGCCCAAGCTTGTAACCCCAGGTTACAAAAAGGGAAGCTTCTGGTGATGGATTTATCTGCTACAAGAGAGTTAGACATTTGCTCAAAATATCCTCTCTTGTTGGACAAAGCATTTGAAAAATACATTTAAAAAAAAGAAATTCATTCAGAGGTTGAAGGTGTTAGAGAGAAAGGAGGGGAAAACACTTTTAAAGGTAAGAGGGGAACATATTTCAAGCTTATCACAAGGCAAGTTTACAGCCTACCTCCAGAATAATATCAGGTTATATTATGCTATGGGAGTAATCCTAGCTTAATTACTGCACCATTTAAACTAGTTTCAGATCATATTTCTCTCCCTGTTATGTTTTGGAAAAGTGTGATGACAGGAATGCAGTGCTGCTGCACACATGCTGTATTTCATTGATTAATTTTTCTATGTGTTAGCTTATACAGTGCAGTATTTATTTTAACTTGCACAGTTTTTAGGTAAATTCTGCCTCCCCTAAAGCCTCGTTAAAGGAAGAAAGGCCCTCCTGTATGCATTTTGATTGCCATCATGGCTCCCCCGTACAGAAAACAATTGATAAGGGAGTTTTTATTTGGGCACCCCAAACTACTCAAAATGAAACTCTGTACCAATGGGAACTATTTTACAGGCTATAGTTTCCTTTGATACATACTCCTAGCTCCCATTACCACTGAGCTGATGGGGGAAAAGTTAGAGATAGAATTATGTGCTAATCAGGTAAACTGAACACAAAAAAAACCTGAAAGCTGCACAGACCTTTAAACAGCTAAGCATTTAATTACACCTCCCATATATAATAAAAATAAAAAACCTGGCAGTTTTGATTCCGCCTTTGATAACTGTTCAATTCATTCACAGTCTGCTCACACAAAGGAAACAGTAGTTAAAGATGTGCCAAAAATGCTAACCCTCAAGCTTCTTGTTTTCCACTGGCGTCAAATATCTTTAGTACATGGATATTTCAGTAACAAATTGATATACAGGGGCCAGCTGTGCTACAAGTTAGACAGATAAACCATGTCCAGACAAGCATGGCCATACGGTATGTGGCACCGCAGACACGTCTGCAGTGCAACCACCACAACATACCGCATGCTCAGTTATTCTCCGCACTGCAAGGGAGCAGCGTGGAGGGTTTTTTTAAAAACCCGCAGAAAAAAAAAAGTGGAGTAGCGTACACGGTGGCAGTATGTGCTGCCCAAAGCCAGAGCTTGGCCGGTCAGAGCCAAACTCCACTGCCGGCCAGGCTCTGCACAGCAGGATCACTGGTGTTGCAGCCTCAGGAGGCCCCCAGAACCCCAGATAAGGCTGCTGGGGGCAGCCCACTGCCCAATCTGGGGTAACTTGGCATGCGCCAGAGCACACAAGGCACAGGCATTCCCTGGGGACAACCAGCAGTAGCACAAGGTGCGCCGCCACTAGCTGTCTCTGGGGAACCAAACATCCACTCATGTCTGGACATGGCCATACAGTCCAACCTTCTGATATAAGAGGCTAAAAAACAAAAACAAACATCTAATATATGCCAGTTAGTGGGAAAAGCCATTACTTGTAATCTCTGTTTCTCCAAGACTATAACACACATCTCTGCCTTTTCTCATTCCTCCATGAAGAAATGCATCAGCACCATCTTTTGTTCTGTCTGTTCCAAAGTGAAACAGTGACATATTCCCTAGCCTTTTATTAGGGTTCCTTGGTTCTACAGTAATAGACTACAAAAAGATTTAGTGCTTGCACATCCTTTTAAACAAGAACATATTTTGAAATAAATAGAAGCACTTAGTTATGCTGTTGTATGTGAGCAATAACTGTATGTGAGCAACTGCCATATTTTACAGCAGTAACCATTCATTGGTACACTTAGTTTTATATTTCTAACTCCAGTAGACTGAAGAAATTAGCACTGATTGCACACATATAACTCTGAACAAAACACCAGACACTTCTGAAAATGAGCCACTAAATATGCTCAATGGACATTTTAAAATTCAACCAGCACAGCATGGGAGCTAAATCCTGACAGCTGCTAGCACCCCATGGAGCATTTGTTAAATCACCAAGTCATAAACTCATCCTTTCCTCCCATACTTCTTGATTATATATACACAACGTAGGGAACATGTCTGGACTTATTCTATGTGTCATGCAGGATATCTTACACATCTTTAAGAGAATGGGAAAGCCTGAATGCATAAAATGTAGTCTACCCATCCTTTTGAAGCATACTCTATTCAAGAATATTCTATGTGTACTTGAGGAACTACTTATAATCAAAATAGTGCAAAAATACTTCTGTGTAACACTTGGCTCCCACGTAAGAAGTTTGGAAAAAGGAAACAGTGCAAGTGAGCAGACGCTATATCACACAAAAAAGGCTGCACCTTCTTATCACATCACAGTGGGTATGCTAGTTTCTGAATATTTTGTTACAGTCTCAGAGATTTGTACACTTATTTCCCCATCACAATACAGAAACTTCCAAAAAGTATTACAATGGAAAGGAATTATGAGTAGGACAGCAGAAAGGTTCCTCACCACTGACCTGATCTAGCACCCTTTGGAAAAAAAAAAAGACATAGTAGACTTGATATAAATGGTCTTTGGATCAAGAATCAATGCCCAACTGGAATTTATGAGGAAGGAAGAGAAGGATATGGGCTGGTCATCATACAAATTCTATTACTGTCCCTAGTGTTTCAGTTTTACTTTTGAAGCTCTTACATTACTACCCACACATCCAGAGACTATTCCCTGTGGCAACTGCCCAGTTGGGATTATGGGTTGTGATTAGTACGATTCTTGCTTTCACATCTAAGCACATTTTTCTGAGCACTTCTCCTCATTGCCTATGTTCTGCATTCAAGCAGAGGAACAAGGGAGGGATTTTACCAAAGCTTAGATGGGTTTCCTGCAAGGATTCTATGTTCAGTGTTCATCATCTTGAGACTATTCATGCAATAAAAAAGTAAACTCTTTTAACTTTACTAACTGGTAGCCTGCATCATAATGCACTTTGTAAAAGGTAGCAGAAATGGAGGGGATCTGGAATATATATAACATATAGCTTTGTATATTACTTGTATAGTGTCTTTTGAATGTAAAAGAGAATGATTATTCAGTATACCAGTTATCTTCTAGCACTTCTGAAGATTGCTGTGGGATCTTTAAGTCCTCCTTGAAAGGGCCCCACATAGACTGCCTCATCTGAAGCATGATACTTCCAACAGAGCAGCACTGAAGTATCACACTGGATATGTGAACAAACTCGAGTGTGAATATTTCAACCTACAACTTTCCCACCTGAGTCAAGAATGTGAACAACTGAAGCATGCCAGCACTACAATATGACAGTCTGTTATTATGTTGTTGTATCACTGCAATATCTAAAGGTGAAGCTGTGAAACTAAAATACCTTCAAGACAGAAAATTAAAAGGCGTTCTTGTTCTGAAAAATAAAATCTTCACTGTATCAAGGTAAAAGATTTGCTTCATCAATTGTGTACCAAAGTATGTGAACAGGAATGGAAAAGGATACAATTTCTTTTTAAAATATTGTTGATATTACAGTGTATTGGTATGAAATGCAAAAAACTGCCTGTACTTAATATTCCAAGAACTCTAAAGTTTATTTACATGAACACCACATATTATGTGATTTAAAAAAAAAAAAAAAAGGAATACCCACATTTCTTAATATTAAAAAAATCTTACTCAAAATTGAGATTTTTGATTATGAAAAACAGAGGAGCCAGGGCTTCTAAAAGTTTAATTAAAAACTGATCACTTTTGAGCTGATATCAATACCTTTGCAATCAGTTGGGATAAATCCAGTGAGTCATGCTGCTCATTTTAGGAACTCTAGAAGAAATATCAAGCTCAGCTATGTAAATTTTAAAAGCTTTGTAAAAGAGTTCCATAAGTATTGCAGGCTTCTTTCAAATTATTTCCTTGATGGCCAGATGACACCTATGTTCCTGCCTTCCTTCCTCCCCATTTGTAAGTCAGCTTGGGAAACAGGCCTCAAAAACCTATGGATTTTAGTCATGTTAGGCCACAGGACTAATGCAAAAGCCTTCCATTTTCAGAAAAGGAGTCCACTGCTGTGCCAATTCATGGAGCCAAGAGAAAAACTCAGGCAAACTATAAGAGGAAAAGAAAAAGTTAATGAAGATTTTCAAGTCTCTCTTCTTCAAAACTATCAGTCAGGAAAGGAGCTGTGAGCTTGCGTTTTTTATGTCCAGCTCCTCTGATCACTTTAGCAGCACTAAAAAGAAAAAAAAAAAAAAGTATGGATTTCTACTCACTGAATAGTGATCACTGAAATAACAAACTAAAGAAAAAAAAAGTATTTCTAAAGGCCAATGCTATTATTTAACTGCCAATGAAAACCCCCCTGCTAAAACCCCTTAAATATATCCCCCTGTGTTCCTAATCTGAACACAAAAGGTTGGGATTAAAAAAAAATACTGAGATTAAAACTGCCTGCAGTTTTCAGCTGCAGGGCCAATGATGGCAAGGGTTTAAATCCTCGGCTACTTGCTTCGTAAAGGCACAGCCTGCAGACGGTCCTGAAATGTTCTTTGAAATGTTAAATACTAAATTGAAAGAGGGAAGAAAATAAATATTCTTTATAAAAGAAACTGATCTAACATACTGCTTTTCTAAAATTCATTCAATTCTTTGCTTTCAACAACCAGCCTACAGTATATTCTCAATTTGTTATTGTCTGCAGCTTGAACTTCTCTTGAAATTAAATTCAGGAACAAAATGCCTGAATTATTGCTGGAAACAGCTGCCAAAATATGTATGTTTTACTTCTCAATGCTAGCCTCAAAATAGTTCTCTTATTTCTCTGATGAAAAGACGTATTCTTTATCTGATAAACAATATTCTGATATTATCTGATAAACGTATTCTTTATCTGATAAACAATCTTATTCTTATCACCTAAATCAGATCTTTTCATATAATACATATATATGTATATGCATATGTATGTATATATCTACATATATATAGATATACACACAGAGAATACAACAGAATTTTTATTTTATATGCATACACACACAAATTCTGTGTGCGCATACACACACACACACACACACACACACACACGCACATTTCTTCAGAAACAGGACAGGCAATGTTCTGAATTTCTGATGCATTGTAAGGATGAAGTTACACATTACACTTAGACCGGACTAAGGACACTTAAAACACAAGTGACAAGTTAAAGCTCGTTAACTCATGGTAAGTGCCCTCTGAGTGTCTCAAAGTTACACCACTTCAGGTGAGGGTTATCTCTGGACCATGCTACCTAGCTCGTATTAGGGTAACTTCATTCAGCTTCACAGAGATAAAATGAGCATTCTGCAGTCCTACAGCACCCCTGAGTGCACTACTCCCAGACCTCCCTCCTTCCCCACCCAGAGCAGGGATAGAGTTCAGGTGACCTAGCTCCTATCCACGCTCCAGCTCACCAGCCTTCCAGAGGCAAGAAAGAGTTGCACAAGCAAGAAATGGTATTAATCCTTAACATGAAACTGCTCACAGCACATTCTAACTTTAACACTGTTTAACATTCCACAGACTTAGCATGGGCTAAGAGTAATGCATAGCTTCACCATAAGTACAGGTAACTTTTCTCCTACAAACAGCTCCTTTATAAATAAAAGCAGAAATCTAGGATTAAGAAATACCCACTTATTCTTTGCTTTCCCATAAAAAAAAAAAATCAACCCTTTCTCCAAGAGTAAAGAAAGCATTTGTCCTTGACCATGACAGGTAACAGCACTGGAAGAATATGAGGATGCAAAACCAATAATCACAAAACCAATAATCATTAAAGGCTGGAGAAACTATAATGGTAATATTCCAAAAAGTAACATCACCTAACACTAAGGCCACCAGCAGTTTTCTATACTGTCACACAAAACATAGTAATAAAATATTACTACAGAACTGATACAAGATCAAGTTGGCTGTGATGAACCAGGTTTTCCAATTTAAAATCATGCATGAAAATCTTCATCATCATGAACATTTCACCAAAATCAGATCTTGGTTTATCTTTGAGGATAACTGTTACTTTTACTGTAGTGGTAGCTGAGCACTTACTCAGGGCTACCAACCAAAAATCATTGTTGATCAATGGTTTAGGTCTCTTGTTTCTTCTGCTGGCCATGAAGCATTTAGGACTTTAGACATTTATTTCCTTTCTCCAGACACCCTGGCTTAACACATTTTCTTCCTCCCTTCCTTCCTTCACCTTTTTTTCCATCCTCTGTTCTTTGACATTTTAAGAAATAATTGGCAACATTAAGTTGAAAAAGTGAATTTTTATATTCATTTTGAAAGCCAAGAGATTTATGGTCACCTCCCCCCTGCAGTAATAGTTGCTAGGTTTCAGGGGGCTTCTTACTACCCCTGAAATACCACCCCAGCACAAATCTGGATTAACTATATGTAGCAGCTGCTCATTTACACAGCAGTTCACAAATTCTGAAATTCCTTGGAAATTTGTCTGAAGAAACACTCCAAATGCAGGTGTTTCTACAGAAAAGGACTAGGCACTACCTTCAGTTTAAGTACATTAAACCTACTTTTTTTACTGGCAACTTTATTACCATTGTTTGCATTATTGGTTCTATAATTCTTGTTCACTGAAGTCCTTTAAAACATGCCAGAATAGCAGGTGGAAGACTTTCTAGTTAATCCAATCACAATACATACAATCCTACTTAATTCACAACCCAGGAACATTCTGCATTTCTGTAGTCTTTAAGATTGCAGGCAGCCTCTTTTTGACCACTGAAGCAGTAGAGGTTGGGAAATCATTTGGAAGCTCCACTTGGGAGAGTCACTGTAACAGTGAACCCTGGCCCTGTTACCAGAAGGTAGGTCGAGGGTTCAGAGGGGAAGGAAAGACCCCAGACGAACGAGAAGAAAGGGGTGTGTGTAACAGGGAACCCTAGCCCTGTCACCAGAAGACAGGTCCACCCCTTTAAGGCCACAACTTTCTGGACACAGAGTGCCGGTAAGGAGGGGGTTAAATGCTGAGCCTGGCCAGCTAGTCAGCTGACTGGAAGGGGCAGGCCAGGACTATAAAAACCCTGGGCAGAGCAGGAATGAGGGCCAGCAGCCAAGGGGGAAGGAGAGTACCCCAGAGCTCCCTGGAGGAGCTTGGTAAGTGGTCCAAAGACTGGATGAGGGGAACTATGGAAGCCTCCAGAGAGACAGCAGCAACCCTAGAAGAAAGACTGTAGCCAACAGTGGGGAGCCAAAGTATAAATGTAAGCTGGCACACTGCCTTCTTTAATCACATTTTTTGGTGGCAGTTATTGCCCATGGACAGGACTGTTCATATTTCTTTTTGTTATTGAATAACACCAGCAGTTTGGGTGAGGCTAGTAGGGAAGGAGGAGGCCTCATTGGGACCCCACTATACCATGGGGGGCCTGGTGCCTGTGTGGGTGCAGGATCTGGGGTGTACTGACCCCCCCATGCCAGAGAAGGCACAGTATTTAGGGTTCATAGGCCCTGGCACCAGTGTAGGTGCAGGATTTTGGGGTGGTACAGACCCTGACACCAGAGGATGCAGCCCTAAAACGCCGGGGTAGTCTAGTGCCCCTGAGGTACAGTTTTTTGTTTGGTTTGGTTTTTTTGTGCTGTGGACTGGGATGGCATAGGTTCAGGGCTGTTCCCTAGCCTTGAACTTGCAGTCCCCTGGCTATGGGGCTGGTGGCCAGGCCTCTGGGCCAGGGAGGCTGGGCTCCAAATTGGAGCAGAAAGGAGGGCCATGAGACTCAAGACAAAGAAAAACGCTAGCGTCTCAGAGTTGAAACCTGTTTGGTGGGTTTAGACAGGGAGGCCTAGCTAGAGAAAGGCAAGGGGTCAAAGTTTGTGGAGGTGGAAGACCATAACATAGGAAATATAATAGGTAGTCTCCCACTTACAAAAACATCCGTATAATAATTTTCCATCAAGACGTGGCAGGAAAGTAAAGAGCAGGACACAAGAAACCTTACAGGGGACTCCAAGGGTGCCCCATGTAGGGCGTGGATAACACGGAAGATAGTGTTGGGGAAGGCAACCTGTTACAGTCACTAATGGATATAGAGCCAGCAGAGCTAACACCTGCCATTCCCTCCCCATGCACAGGACTCATGTTGGCATTAAGGAGGAGTGACAACCATGTAAAATGATGTACTCCAGCAATCTCTATCTGGTATAGTTCCTAAGATTTTACAGCCAGTTGGCACAAGCCAGTGCAGCCCACAGGTTGTTCTCATCCACAGCAAGGCTGGGACAGAGTCAGGAAAACAAAGTATTAAGTGCTGTAGAGAATCTACTCTATAATCCCTAGAACAATTCTGGTAGTTGATGTTCCTCTACTGATAAAAGGGCCAGATTTGCAGACGTTCCCACCACCAGTCAAAAATATTGTTCCTTGCTCAACTTTTTAGTTTGCCCTGATAATGCACATTGTTTCGCAACAAACTAAATCAGTTTATCCATGTAACTGCATAATAAACAGGCATCGTTTGATACAGATTAAATGAAAACACTTTAGAAACAGGAATGAAGAAAGTAACAATGACATTCTCCCCCCCTTAAATGTAGCAAAGATTCTATTAAAGTTACTAAATAATGGTGACATCTCTAATATTT